GGAGGGGAGGGAAGGAGAGGAAGGGGGGAGGAAATGGAGGGGAGGAGAGGGAAGAGGACAAAAGGGGAGGGGAGAGGAAAGGAGGGGAGGACAGCGGAGGGGAATAGAAAGGACAGGAGGGGAGGGGAGAGGAAAGGGAAGGGGGGAGGAGGAAAGGGGAGGGGAGGAGGAGAGGAGGACAGGAGGGGTGAGGAGAGGAGAGGATTTTTTTTTTTTTTAATTTCAAAAAAGCCATTTTTCAGAGATGTCCAGGGAGGGCATGTACACCAAGGAGAGACACCCTGATGTCACAATGCCAGCCTCGTCCCTTTTCTGTGTGGGTCACAATACCGCAGGGATGCCATGACATTCCAATCTTGCTTCCTTCCTTGGGATGAAAGCTGTGGGATATGACCAGGCCGATCCCGAAGGTGGAGTCAAACGCATCATCAGTTTGGAGTCACTGCCTCCTTATTCGAGACCTAAGTCCCTTGAGATCCAGTGATTCTTATCTGGCTGCAATGTGCATTGGCTGTTAGTAGATCAGATGCTTATGTTTAGGTTTCAGGGAATAAACTCGTCGTACTTTGTTACCGTACTTTTCGCACTATAGGACGCACTTCCCCCCCCTCCCCCCAAAAAAGGGTCTGTGCATCTTAGGGAAAGTTGCCAAAGCCCCGCCCACTCGTTGTCCCCACCCTTCGGCCTCTGCCTCCCAGCAATTTGCCTCCTTGCAGCAAACAGCCTGGTCAGCTTCAGCCTGATTTAACACGAGCAACTGATTGGCAGTTGGATCAGCCTCCGGGAATACTGACGATCAGCTGTTCCAGTCTGCGGGGATCGCCGCTGCTTATCGCCGCTGTTGCTGCCCATTGCCGCCGCTGCCTATCGCCGCTTCTTCATGCCCCATTTTTGGCCTCTTTGCGCCCCCTTTTCAGCCTCCACACGTCCCGTTTCCAGGCACTTGGAATGGGCCAAAAGCATGACGCGCGGAGGCCAAAAATGAGACGCGCAGAGGCAGCGATAGACGGCGGCAATCTCCGCAGCCTGGAACAGCTGATCGTTGGTATTCCGGGCAGCCGATCCAACTGCCAATCAGCTGCTCATGCTAAATCAGGCTGAAGCTGACCAGGCTGTTTGCTGTTTGCTGCAAGGAGGCAAATTGCTGGGAGGCAGAGGCAGAGTTATTTTTTTCTTGTTTTCCTCCCCTAAAGCTAGGTGTGTCTTATGGTCTGGGGCATCTTATAGTGCACAAAATACAGTACTTTATTCTGGAACCTAAACCAGCTTCTGTCACATTCAGCAACACCTGATATTTGCGCCATTCTGGTCTGGCCCTGACTATCCACCCCAAATCCAGACCCAAGGCATAAAAGTAAAAGAACGGAGTAAATGACAAGGCTGACGCCCCTCCCCAACCAACCAAGGTTTTTTTTAAAGGGGAGGCGGGCTCAAAGCTGTAATTCACTTCTGGACCAATGATTGTCAGCTTCTTCCCTACCAAACAAGTCCAACAGGTGGCTTGGTTACCTGAGCCCGAAGCAGGTGCTGACTGCAACTATAGAACTTGAGTCGCCTTCGACATATCCCTGGTAGTGGCAGTGGTTCTAAACGGGGAAGAAAGGAATAAAAACTAAGCAGAAGACCACATCAGCAATTTAACCCTGATATACAGTGCCTTGATGGCCCTGAGACCCAGAAGCTGTTAGGGCAGGGGTGAGGAATTAACAGCCCCTTTATGACTTGTGGACTGGTTCAGGAATTCTGGGAATTAAAATCCACACATCGTAAAAGGGCCACGTTTCCCCATCCCTGGTTTAAGGCATGAAGGACTCTGCTTTTTGATTTAACACTTTGGGGTTGACTTTAAATAAGTTACAACTGAGTACCTACAGCAGGGGGTCTTCTAACTTGGACAGCTTGAAGACGTGTGGACTTCAACTCCCAGAATTCCTCCTCCAGTCATGTTAGCTCAGGAATTCTGGGAGTTGAAGTCCAGAAGTCTTCAAGCTGTCAAGTTTGGAGACCCTTGAGCTAAAGAAAGGTACTCTCGCTTGTCCAGACCTCCATTGTGAAATGAGATTTAAGAATGGAGAAGGATTGTCGGAGATTATCGATGCACAAAGATATAAAGAGGGACTTTATTTAAGGATTTCTGGCTTGCACTCTGGGGGAAAGGAGTGCCGCCTTCCTAAAGTTGAAAGCAAATAAACATCACCATCGTTTAGTACAGACTTAAACCTTGCCAATTCCTGCCAGCTAATTCCAGCCAAGTGGACTGATTATATAAACTTCTGAACTCATAGCAACAAGAACCCCAGGCTGTGCACTCATCTGCAGCAACTACCGTGGCACTAGCTGAAATACAGGAGTGGAGCACGACATGTCAAAAACGGCATTGAATTCATAAATAAACGTACAGCCTTCCTGTAAGGAGAAGAACTGGCCCCTCTTAAAAGCCAGAACGTGGTCGAATCACAGTCTCCACGCACCAGGTGGGGCAGCCTGTTGTGTGGCACAGAAGTTCCAAAGAGAGAGAGAGACAGAGAGACAGAGGGAGACAGAGACACAGAGAGAGAGAGAGAGAGAAAGAAACAGAGACAGAGAGAGAGGGAGAGAGAGAGAAAGAGAAAGAGAGAGAGAGAGAGAGAGAGAGAAAGAGAAAGATAGGAAAAGAGAGAGAGGGAGAGAGAGAGAGAGGGATGCAGAGAGAGTGAGTGAGAAAGATAGAAAGAGAAAGAGAGAGTGTGTGAGAGAGAAAGAGAGAGGGGGAGGAAGGGAGGGAGAGAGAGAAAGAGAGAGAGTGAGAGAGATGTTTGTGAGTATGTGTATGAGAGAGAGAAAGAAAAAGAGAGAGAGAGCGGAGAGAGAAAGAGAGAGAGAGAAAGAGACAAAGGGAGGGAGAGGGAGGGAGAAAGATAGAAAGAGAGTGTGAGAGAGAGAAAGAGAGAGAGAGAAAAAACACCCCCACTCACGATCCTTGCTAGTTCTTGAGGTATCAACACTCTTAACTCGGTCCAATTAATCATTTGCCAGTGCATGAATTATATTTGTGGAATTTGTTCCTACCAAAAGTCTTGGGCGAGGTTCCTGGAACAGCACCAGAAATTGGCTACATTGATCAGCAGGGGAATTTATGACACATAAGGGACATAAATCATAACACCTGGATTGAATTCATTGAATTAATCTGAAACTCCAATTCATGAAGCTTTTCTCCCATTCTTCTCCACCCACTTCTTTGTCCTGGATCTACTGTGGTTTTTGTCTGAACAGGTACAAGTCAACATACGGGTTCAATGGGCACCAGTCAGTCGTTAAGTGAGACGTGTCTGATTTTATGACCTTTTTTGACCCTGTGCACCCTGTCCCCTCGTCCTTAAATATATGCAAGATGATCAAATTCTTTCCCCCTGAATTTCTTTTATATTCTCTACTACAGCGTTTCTTAAGTCTCCCTCTTAACAAACTGAAAGTAGAAGTAGAAGGAAAAAAATCCCTCTCTTTGCACACGTATATAAGGGAACGTGGTGGCTCAGTGGCTAAGACGCTGAGCTCGTTGATAAGAAAGGTCAGCAGTTCAGCGGTTCGAATCCCCAGCGCCGCGTCATGGAGTGAGCTCCCCGTCCCTTGTCCCAGCTTCTGCCAACCGAGCAGTTCGAAAGCATGTAAAAAATGCAAGTAGAAAAATAGGGACCAGCGGGAAATGGGAAGGGAACAGCGTTCTGTGCGCCTTCGAAGGCGTTTAGTCCTGCCGGCCACATGACCACGGAGACGTCTTCGGACAGCGCTGACTCTTCTTCGGCTTTGAAATGGAGAGGAGCACCGCCCCGTAGAGTCGGAAACGATGAGCACAGATGTGCATGGGGAACCTTCATGCGCACACACACGCACTCAATGCCTCTCCCCACAGACCGAAAGAGAGACTACAAAGTTAAGTGTAGAGAAAGCCCCACCGCTAACCTTCTTCTGACCTCATCCCCAAGGCTGACAGGACATCTTCCTCCTCAGCCAGAGCCAATTCTTGGAAACCATTTTTCTTTTAAACTTATCAACCCTCAGAGAAAAATAAAACACACCTGAAGATCTGGAGTTTCTGTTTTCAGCTTTCCACTTTCATCGTAGGTGTAAATTCTGAAGTCTTGGGACACCAGATCGCTAAAAGGATGGAGGAGGGAAATGTATGAATGCCAAACAAAAATGCTTTTTTTTTTAAAAAAAAAATCAAAATAAGAGAAATGTGAGCTAAAGGACAACAACAACATCAAAAAAGCCAAAGCACCCGAAGGCCAGACAAGGAATAATGGATGGAAACTGATCAACGAGAGATTCAACCTGGAAATAAGGAGACGTTTTCTGACAGTGAGAACAATCAACCAATGGAACAGAAGTTGCCTTCAGAAGTTGTGGGAGCTTCATCCCTGGAGGCTTTCAAGAAGAGACTGGGCTGCTATTTGTCAGAAATGGTGAAGGGTCTTCTGCTTGGGCGGGGGGTTGGACTAGATGATCTACAAGGTCCCTTCCGACTCTGTTCATCGGTTAAAAAAAAACCTGACCAAACCTCAACCACAGCCAAAGAATTTGTGAGGGAACAAATGGACCTTTACTCTCCAACTAAACCTCTGGCTTTTTCTATCACCTGTAACTTTTTACATAAAGAGCACTATGGGATAAGGGTTGAGGGGGAAAAATAAAATAAAACTTAGGAACAGGGTAAGAAAAGCTGCAGTTGGAAGCATATCAATAGGTTCATTGAAAATATGAATAGAATAGAATAGAATAGAATAGAATAGAATAGTTGGAAGGGACCTTGGAGGTCTTCTAGTCCAACCCCCTGCTTAGGCAGGAAACCCTACACCACTTCAGACAAAGGGTTATCTAGTCGCTTTTCAAAAACTTCAAGTGTTGGAGCATCCACAACTTCTGGAGGCAAGTTGTTTCACTAATTAATTGTTCTAACTGTCAGGAAATTTATCCTTGGTTCTAGGTTGCTTCTCTCCTTGATTAGTTTCCACCTGTTGCTTCTTGTCCTGCCCTCAGGGGCTTTGGAGACTAGCTTGACTCCCTCTTCTTTGGGGCAGCCCCTGAGATATTGGAACACTGCTTTCGCTCCTCTTTATTCCCTATGGGACGGGTCATTCACCGTCCAGCTGTGGCTTTACTCCTGAGTCGACCCTTGTTCCTTAGCTGTTTCCCTCTTCTGGCAGCTCTGTACATGCGCACACTGGGAACAGGCTCCAGCTGTTCTTCTTCCCCATTGATGTCCAACTCTAAAGGCAGCTGATAACTGTCAGACGGCCCTGGCCCCCGCTCTGCCTCCGACGCAGAGTCTTCCCCAGACCCCAGGACTGGCCCATGTTCCTCCCCAACCTCCTCACTATCTGAATCTGCCACCAGTGTGGCGGGCCACAACAGAAGAAGACACTTCGCTTCTCATCCAAGAAGCTTCATCAATTGTGACTTCTTGGAGGAGAAGCAAAACATCTTCTTCCTTAAGGAAAAAGAACAATCCAGCACCTTTGAGACTACTATGACCTGGATGACTGAGAATCGCCACAGACATACAGCCAGAACGAAATCACTTACTTGTGCCTTCTTAAATGAATGGTATATGGTTTTCCTTCAACTGTAACCCTGAATGATAACTGGTCCTGAAAACATAGAGGAAGAAAGCAATATTAGCGGGTGTTTCAATCATACTTAGTGAGCCAGTCCCAAACTAATGAACAGTGGGAGTCAAGCAGCAATATTTAATAAATATTTCATGCCTCCTTTTACATATATATATATATTGGGTGGGGAGGGGTGCTTTATACATCTTATGTGGTTTTTATATTTAACCTTTTATATAATGCTGCCTGAAACACAGATGCGCAGAAGGAGAAGAGAGGAGAGCAGTGGAAATCTATGGGCCGGTCCTTGGGATGGAAGAGCCACTGCTGCTAGCAAGGCCCCACCTTTGCTCTGGGGATAAAAAAGGCAGGGGGAGGAGATGAATAGATGTAGCAGACAACTATTCATCTCCCTGCCGGACCCGGTGAGAGAGAAACTTTTTACCGGGGCTGCTGGCCGCCTCTAATAAAAAGGAATATTTAGTTAACTACAGAGGGTTTGTTGTGTTTGGGAGCTGGGTCAGAACAGTTTGTTTAATTACCTTGTATGCTGCCTGGGGTCAATTTGGAGTCAAGCAAGGCCTAAACTGAATAAATTAACGTTCCACCAGATAAAATTGTAGGCTTGATATTGGTTGTGTTTGTTATGTTCCTCCCTCATGACTGCATTCCATCCCTTGAGGTTGGTCTAGGATCGTAATGAGGTTTCATTTGAAATACAGCATCGTGTCGCAGCTGCCAATCACTTTTATTTTGTAAGAAAGTGTGCAGCATTCCCTCGGAGGCCAGGCACTGCCGCGTTTATCAGAGATACAAGGAGCCCTTTCCTTTAAATTTAATTCCTATTGATCAACGTGTCGATGAAACATTGGAAGTTGCTGAGCGTAATTGTCGCCGAATGCAATTTTTTTTTTTTTTAATGGCAGGAATCAGGGAAGACATTTTGTGGAATTTTGTTTGCCCGAGGAGCCCAAAATCATTTGATCAGACATGAATATTGTGTGCAGCAAACCTTAAGGCTGCAGTAGATTATGTCATGCCCATGGTGGAGACTGACTCAGAGGGAGAGGAGGAACAGCTGACAGGGAGTGGAGGGGTGGCTCTGGAGATTGTGGAGGAGGCTGAGGAAGGGCAAAGGCCGGCTGAGCAGTCAGAGGAAAAAACAGGCCCATTCCCTCTCAAACCCAGAACATGCAGGGCGGAACGGAGAAGGAAACAACTTGGCTTAGGGGAGAGGAAGTGGCCATAATCCCCCTCATTGGTTGCAGCTGGGGAGACTAGTATATAAGAGAGACGGTTTAAACACAGCGTTGCCAGAAGCAAAGCGTGTTTTATTTTGGGCTGAAGTTATCTTGGTTGGCATCCTTCCAACAGACCGTGCCTTGTTATCTCCTTGCAGTTGGTAATTACTTATCCTGGTCTGTTGTGGAATTTCCTTCTTTGTAGTTTGCTTTGGGTTTTTTTATTTCACCTCTATCCGCTCATTAAGTTTGGACTGCATGGCTTTCTTTTGAAGACTATTTTTGAATACGTTTTATCTCCAACTGAGAATTAGTGAACAGTGAGGCCAAGGTTGGCGGCATTAAAAGACCATTACATTTTGGATTTTGTTACGTTTGTGTTACACTCCGGGTCATCACAATTGTTATTTGCTGTTCTCCTCTTTACCAAGAGATACATTTCTGGGCCAATTTTCAAGATGATAAGAGTATAGGCTTCTTCATGCCAATAACCATTTTCATCATTCCCCAGGAACCAAAGGCCTAGCTGACAGAACTATATTCCAGAGAGTGGAGCAGTGTTTCTCAACTTGTCTTTCTTCTCAACTTGGAAGAAGTGTGGACTTCAACTCCCAGAATTCCCCAGCCAGCATTCTGGGAATCGAAGTCCAGACACCCTTGAGCTGGCAAGGTTGAGAAACACTTCAGTGGATGAAGGTTGGATGAGGTTGGCACGACCAATTTGTGAGGCAAGCAAGGCTGCCCTGCAAATGTATAGGATGCCCCCAACATCCCTATACAACCTTCAGTTCTAGCACAAGAAGGCCATTGGCCAACATTTCCTCTGCCCTGCTCGGTCTCTACAACCACCGTGAAAAATGCAATACAGAGACCGTAGTATTTGTCATATGTGGTAGCTTCCAAACATCTGCACAAAACATTCCCGTTAATCCATGAAGACTCTAGAAAGAGTGCAGAGAAGAGCAACCAGGATGATGAGGGAACTGGGGGCTAAAACATATAAAGAATAGTTGCTGGAACTGGGTATCCCTAGTCTGATGAAAAGAAGGACTCTAAGGGAGCTATGATAGCAGTGTTCCAATATTTGTAGGGCTGCTCCAAAGAAGAGGAAGGGGTCAAGCTATTCTCCAAGGCACCTGAAGGCAGGACACGAAGCAATGGGTGGAAACTCCTCAAGGAGAGAAGCAACCTGGAACTGAGGAGAAATTTCCTGACAGTTGGAACAATTAACCAGTGGAACACCTTGCCTCCAGAAGTTGTGAATGCTCCAATCCTGGAAGTTTTTAAAAAAGAGATTGGATAACCATTTGTCTGAAGTGGTGTAGGGTTTCCTGCCTAGGCAGGGAGTTGCACTAGAAGACCTCCAAGGTCCCTTCCAACTCTGTTATTCTATTCTATTCTATTCTATTCTATTCTATTCTATTCTATTCTATTCTATTCTATTCTATTCTATTCTGCATTCTCTTCCCTTCCCTTCTCTTCCCTTCCATTCTATTCTATTCTGCATTCTCTTCTCTTCCCTTCCCTTCCCTTCCCTTCTATTCTGCATTCTCTTCCCTTCTATTCTATTCTGCATTCTCTTCCCTTTCCTTCCCTTCCCTTCCCTTCCCTTCCCTTCCCTTCCATTCCATTCCATTCCATTCCATTCTATTCTATTCTATTCTGCATTCTCTTCCCTTCCCTTCCCTTCCCTTCCCTTCCCTTCCCTTCCCTTCCCTTCCATTCCATTCCATTCCATTCTATTCTATTCTATTCTATTCTATTCTATTCTATTCTATTCTAATTCCTTAATTTGGTTATGGAAGTTCCCCCATGCTTACATACCTCTAAATGTTGGGCCTGTTCTCTTTCTTGTTCTTTTTCTATCCTCTTGGGGACAATAATTTCGTAGGAAGACAGATGAGAAAGTGACTGAAAACCTGCAATAGAAGAAGAAGAAGAAGACATGTGAGCTTGCACAACAAATACTCTGGCTTTTAAATACTCTGGAAGATCAGAACTTGTGAGATAAATAGAACACAGAAGAATAAGGTTGGAAGGGACCTTGGGAGGTCCACCAGTCCAACCTTCCATTCAAGCAGGGGACCCCAAAGCAGGGGGTGTCAAAATCAAAGCCCAGGGGCCAGATATGGCCCGCAGGGGCCACCCTGGAAAACCAGCGAAGGATTGGCCCGTGGAGCCTCTTCCAGCCCAAACGGAGCTCTGTTTTTGCTGGCAGAGGGTTGCTGGAGGCTGTCGCAGCCAAAAATGGAGCTTGGAACACCGTTTTGTCTGGTGCTTGGGCCCCCACAGGTCCCCCCGACACCAGGGAGGAGCAGGAGGAAGAGGAGGGGAAGGAGAAGGAGAAGGAAAGGAGAAGGAGAGGAAGAAGCAAAATTAGAAGGAGGAGGAGGAGGACCAGAAGAGGAAGAAGCAAAATTAGAAAAAGTCATGGGCCCAGATTTTGGATAGGGCTTAAGTTAGCCCATTTGAGATACATGGGATCAAAAATATATTGCAGTATGATGCACTGTTTCACCCAGTTATAGGTTACAGTTTTAGAAATATATAGATATAGTGATTTTTTTTTTTGTAAAGTCTACACAGCAGTCCCCATCTCACACGTTTTGTAGCATGCTGCAAAACAAGAAGAAAACAAAACAACTGTTCAGAAAGCGTGGCCCTCATAAAGGCTCCACTTGTAGAAAACTAGCTTCAAAATATGAAAGATCTTGAAGAAAAAAAAGAAATTATTATTATTACCGCAACAAAAAAATAAATAAACACATGATATTAGAACAACTCTTGAACGGCGAAATCTGGGAACTCTGGAATTTACTACATCTAGAAATGGCATTTATCTCTGTTGAGAGTCAGCAAAAATAGTCTCCCTGTGAGAGCACACTGAGCTTCTTGTGTGAGGAAAGATTATCTTGGAAATTTAGCACAATCCCTCTTCACAAAAATGTTCAGAAACGTACATCAGATGCCTCTTACTTAGCGTACCGCTTCAATATGGGGATACAGTCCCTTATTTCAGGCTAAATCCACGTCTTTCGCCTGGGACTCCTGTCCATTTTGGGGCAGCCCATTTGAGGTTCATCACACTATAAAAAAGATGTTGAGACTCTAGAAAAAGTGCAGAGAAGAGCAACCAGGATGATGAGGGGACTGGAGGCTGAAACATGCGATGAATGGTTGCAGGAACCGGGCCTGGCTAGTCTAGTAAAGAGAAGGACCAGGGGAGACAGGAGAGCAGTCTTCCAATGTTTGAGGGCTGCCCCAGAGAGGAGGAAGGGGGTCAAGCTATTCTCCAAAGCACTTGAAGGCCAGACAAGGAATAATGGATGGAAACTGAACAAGGAGAAAGATTCAACCTGGAAATAAGGAGGAATTTTCCGACAGTGAGAACAATCAACCCATGGAACAGAAGTTGCCTTCAGAAGTTATGGGAGCTTCATCCCTGGAGGCTGTCAAGAAGAGACTGTCAGAGATGGTGTAGGGTCTCCTGCTTGGGTGGGGGGTTGGACTAGATGACCTCCAAGATCCCTTCCAGCTCTGTTAATCTGTTAAAGTGAACTTTATAATGCCTTGATAAGACCCCAGTTGGAATACTGAATCCAGTTTTGGTCACCAGACTATCAAAAAGATGTTGAGACTCTGGAAAGAGGGCAGAGAAGAGCAACCAGGATGACGAGGGGACTGGAGGCTAAAACATACGGAGAACGGTTGCAGGAACCGGGCATGGCTAGTCTAGTAAAGAGAAGGACCGGGGGAGACAGGATAGCAGTCTTCCAATATCTCAGGGGCTGCCACAG